TTAAATAAGTAATTCTGTGCTACCAAGTTTATTTCTTAGCTGGAAAAGGTGAGATATCTTTATTCTCAACAATTTGCCATCAACCAAACACAATCACTCTTTCCTACACCAAGAACAGGACAGCCTTGAAATGATAGCATCTCACCCGTTATGGATGCTTCATTGTTCCTTTAGATGGTGTAGGAGCAGGGTGAGTTGCCAGGCCAACTCTATCTACAGGGATGATTTGGCAAACCTGGGGTCAAAGCTCCTCTGGAACATACTTAACCCTGTAGGATTTCAGATGCTGAAAACAGTTGTGCTTAAAGGGCTCAGAGTCAGTATAGAGTTATTCCTACTTTTTGCAAGAGTGGGAGTTTCAGAAAGGGGTCCTAATCATTCTTTCTGTTCTTACTGTTGATACCCCACAGCAGCTTGCCCTGGTTGGGATGAAAGATTAACAGGGGTATCAAAATGTTGCCTTTGTGGACACACCTTCTAGAGGGAGACTATGCTGATGGTGCGAATGGTGACCACACTTATCGGGCATTTCCCAGATGCCAGACTCTACTCTCAGCGCTATACATATATTAATTCATGGAAGCCCCATCATATGAAAAAATTGAGCCCCTGTGAGAAAAGTAAGTCGCCTAAGGATAGACGGACAGAAAATGGCAGAGTTGGGATTTGAGACCAGGCTTTTTTGGCTCAAACCCAGGCTCTCCCTCCTATGTACATTGCCTGAGTCTGGATTGTAAGGAGGGAGTCCAGGTGGGAGGAGGCAAGGCAACAAGCACAAAACTGGGCTGTGATTGATGGGAGGGTGTGAGGGGCTCAGAGGACGCTATGGTTAAGTCCATTTATTTTAAACTGAAGAAATTTCAAAGATTGAAATACAAAAGGGGGAGGGTATAGCTCAAATGGCAGAGTGCATGATGCACGAGGTCCTGGGTTCAATCCCCAGTACCTCCTCTAAAAATAAAGAAATAAATAAACTTAATTACACCCCCAAAAAAGAAATAGAACAAATCATAAAGAGTATTCTTCCATGAATTTCTTTTGAAGTATATGTGTCTGCTTTTGTACCTAAATATCAAAGTTCATTAAAGATTCATACCATAGCAAAAAAAAAAAAAGATTCATACCATAGTATTTGACCCTTTCATCTTCATATTAAAAATTTAAGGCAAATTGATCTTGAAATTATTTCTTATTTATTCACTAACAGTGCAAGGAAATTTAACACCCTCTTACTTGTCATTCTCATTTGATTTCATTTTACACCAACTTCTCCCTACAGGTTTTCACATTGACAAAGATTTCCTGTATTATTGTTCTCCTTCAGGCTCCTGTGAAATAGTCTTAGAAGACTTTTCTGAAATATTTTCCCATAGCTCAGAAAACAAAAATGTATGAACAGGATCAAATTCTATCAGAATTTGGTTAGTTTTTACACCAGAAAGAGATTGGGTTTTACATTCACTTTTCTAATAATACCAACTCTCTGGCTCTCAATATTTATCTAAGTCCTAATTTACCCCAGAGATTTGTCCACAGTTGTCATGGCCTTTGGCCTACAGTTCCCTGGAGCTGAATTCTGTGTCAGAGGAGCTATTATTAAGGAGGGAGAATTCTCAGCTATCCAGGGCAGAAGGACAGGGAGAAGTAGGGGTACCACAGATGAAGCCTACACCAAGTCCTCAATCTAATTTTGGCCAATTGGCACACTTGCCTTGCTGGGTGACTGTTCTCATTGGTGGAAACATGCAGTGCACTGAGAATACTGAAACTTGTCTGGTTTATGCCTGCAATTTGGAGAGGCTATGCTGAAAACAGCCAGGTGTTCATGTCTCATGAACATCTTATGCATACTTAGCTGAGGTCTCCAAAGTCAGGGAAATAGGAGTTAAGAATGGGATGCTGGAATTCTAGGGACAGGAAGTCCTTCTCTGAAGCCACCTGCCTCTCTCCTCTGTTTCCCAGGCATTTGCACGGGGCGGGGGGAGGGGGGTGCTGCTTTCTCTCTCTCTTGTCTCTAGAAATGGGCTGGTCATACTGACACTCCTTATCCACGAACTGACCCCCCAGGAGGAAGAGATTGGGTCATATGTTCACACAGTGCTTTAACAGGATTACACCCTTAAACAAATCCATAAAGTTCTTCCAAGAGGAATAAACCAACAAAACATTCACCCCCTCACACTTTTCCCTTGGGGAATGACATGAAAACACATTTCCCATTGGAGTTGTTTCATAAGAAAAAAACCTTCAGCGTCAGATGTTGGGTGTTCGAACACTGACATTCCTGGTTTTCACCTACTCCAGAGATAGACAGGTCTATTAATTTAGTTTAAAACATCCAATGAACAACATTCCAGCTAGTCCTTCCAGACCAGTTTTGCAAATTCTGAGAGGCACTTCCTCAAAGCAGCACCCTTTAAAAGGAGCAGGACAGAGTCTACTGCTGCTGCCCCTGGGTACCGCCCAGGTAGGAGGCCTTCATGTTGGCAGCTACCATATGTGGGGCAAGAGACAACAGTCACATCACAGCCCCTCACCTTATGCATCAACCCAGGTAAGAAAAAAAAATCCTGAGGTTTCAAGGCTAGGTTAAGAGAGCCAAAGTGCTCATTGGTCAACTTCATGCCGAATAACGTCACACCAATTTGTCCTATGATGCTCTGTCTGTCACTTAGCCAAGCTTCCTCCACTCCTGGAATAAAAATTCTTCTGCCTTGCTATTTTTCTTCTTTTTTCTTAACGAATGGCAATTTAAAAGTATAAATCTATGCTAAAGAGTCACTTTTAATATCAGCTAAACGATTATCAAAGAAAATCTGTAAAACAGAATGCTGGGTTTGGCTGTCATTTCACATGTCAAGATGCTGCAGCCTGGCATGAAAGATGCTTAGACAGCAAGCAAGACTAGGAGTGCATAGAAAGCTCTGTTGAGCCCCTTTTTGTGTTTCTATTTCTGTTCATCTGTTTTCCCATGGGCAAGGAGACACCTCCTATCACAGAGCCGTCCCCGTCTTGGGTCAGCAGACAATACCGGAGAAATGTGCAAAGGACGGCTACGCTGGCCTGGGTGTGGCCACTGGCAAAGGGAAGCAATGGTCCCCTGGCTGCAGGCCCGAAGACCAGTGGCAGCACCGTGCCCGGTAATCTGCACGCCTGCTTTTTCCCATTTTACCACAATCCGCACCAGCCCTAACTGCTCCCTCTATGAACAGACAGCAGACCTTCGATGTGGGCCCCCTCGTCAGACAAAGCCGGCTACTCAGGGAACCCGCTCAGCACCGAGGCGACCTCCGTAGGTCGCCCCTGACCGTCTTGGTTATCGGTCAACCGAGGGGCGGGAGGCGGCGCCACTGCCAGAAGGTATTAAAGCCAGGGGCGGCGTCTGTCTGCAGGTCCCACAGTCTGGGGATCTGCGTCTCACACCAGGGAACTAACGGCGGGGCTTGGTGCCCCAACACAAACCCCAAGGGACAAGCACGTGCCCTGTGATTTCTCCGAGAGCATTTTCTACAACCATTAAGCTGTACACTTGAGTTCTGGAGGGCCCTAGTTCGCTGTCGGGCGGGTACCAGGATTGGCTATTGTTCTCCGGGTCTCCCCGGGGGGAGGCGTCCCCCATTCCACCTCCCTGGCAGCATCTGCCGCCGGACCAAGAAAGAAAAGGGTGTGCCTGCGGCGCCGCGGATTATCACAAAACCCTAAACGAGTCCCTACGGGCTGGTGTCAAGCCAGGAGACAAAGCTCCTCGCATGGACAGGCATCTCGGTCCCGGATCCGCCATCCTGGGCCTGTCGCCCCGTCCCGGAGCCACGCCCAGACAGCCACAGGACCTCTAGGACCCTCGCTTGAGCAGAGGGTCTTCCGGCTCGAGACCCGCCCCCCAGCTGCCTGCCCCTCCCTTCCCCAGAGACCTCCCTCCCCAGGGAGACCCCTCCCCCTCACCGCGCGGGTCTCCTCCTCCCTGGCGTCTACCCTCCTCAAGCCCGGGCAGTCTCCACCCTCCTGCATCCCTCCTCCCCCCACATTCTCCGTCAGCCCCAGCCTCGTCTCGTGCCACCTGCTCCAAGCTCCTTCTCTCCCTCCTCAGACCCTTCTCTTTCCTCCTCAAACCCTAGTCTCCACTTACCCCTCCACCCAGACTCAGTCACCTATCCCCACCGTGTTCCCCATCTCCCATCTTTTCCCATCCTTGCTCAGACTGACTGAAGCCTCGCGTCCGCCTCTCCCCATCCCAGCTTCTCTCCAGCTGACTCCTGCCTCCTCCCCAGGCCTGGGGCGTCGACGTCTCTCGCCCGCCAAGATCGATGCAGCGGGGAGGGCTCCCGCGATGGGCTCAAGCGAAGGATCCCGCTTGGCGCCCGCTCTGGGCCGGGCAGCGGCAGGCGGCCTTTGTGGTTCAGACAGGTGCCTTGGAGGCGACAGGCGAATCGTCCTCAGGCGTCCGCCTCGTTATTGGGACTAGCGGAACGGACCGCCAGGTCGGCCCAGGCTGGGAAAATCCCAACTCTGAGGCGAGAGGGACAGAGGGTGTGTATGGGTGATGGGTAGGGGCAGATGACAGCAACAATCTAGGGACTCGGACAGGACCGGCCCAAGGCCAGAAGCCCCCGCCCAGCCTTCCAGCCATTCACTACACCTCGAAGAGTGAGGCTGGGCGCCTACTGTGCGCTAGGAGTGAACCCTCTCCAACCAAGCCATCTCCTCATCCCAGTTCTTTGCAATCTCCCGAGCACCTATTAAATGCCTACTATGAGCAAGGCACCGCACGGAGCTCTGGGAGCTCTGTGGGCTTACAAAGAGGAACTGATTCGGGCCCCAGTTTAGCCTGGGGTGCCCAGCCCCAATTCCAAACCACACCTCTCGCCGCGTCCCCAGCGGCCGGGCCCAAGGCGCACCCGGACCCCCGCCCTATTGTGCGCCTCCCAGAGAAACAAGTGTGTGTGAGATGGATGTTCCAGCCCGGGGAAAATGAGCCCACCGCCCGCCCCGCCATCACCCACTCCTTCGGGATGCCGCTGCTGCGAGGGTCCGTCGGTGGGTGGGTTCTCCTCCTGTCTCGCGGTGGCGCGGGAGCTGCGGGTGCTCGGGGCGGCGGCGGCTGCCTGAGACGACGCGACGACGACACACGGAGGAGGAG